CAGCATTTATTGATCACCTGTTCTGTGAAAGTTGCTTTATGCACAAGTACTTTTCAAATAGGTTCAAGTAATGTAACGCTAATAATCAGTGTTACAGAGAAAAAGTATCCCAAGAAGACAAACCCACTGCCATCAAGTCAATGCCAAATCATCGCGACCCTTAGGGACAGGGTAGAACTGCCCCTTGTGAATTTCTGAGACGGTAATTCAACTGTCCCAGGGCAGAATAAGCATGGGACATCTCAAGGGCAGAAAGGTCACCAGAGTTTGTTTCTCAGTTCCACATATTACAGAGGAACCCTGGTGGCGTAGTGGGTTATGCATTGGGTGGGTAACTGCAAGATCATCAGTTCAAAACCCCCAGCTTCTCCCAAGAAGAAAAAATGAGGCTTCCTACTTACATGAAGATTTACCATCTTGGAAACCCACAGGGACAGTCCCACTCTGTTCTATAAGGTCACCATGAGTTGGGATCCTCTCATTGATGAATTTGCTCCACTGCGAGGGAGCCCTGTTGGTACAGTGGTGAAAGCACTCAAGTGCTAACCAAAAGGTCCATAGTTCGAACCCAGCAACTGCTCCTCATGGAAAAGATGGCTCAGTCTGCTTCATCAAGATTTGTAAATCTGTAGCCTTGGAAAGTCCTATGACTCATGGGGTCACTATGAGTCAGAATTGACTCAACAGGAACCAGTTTGGTTTGGGATTGGCTTATCCATTAGAAATCTCTGAGAAGGGCATGTATGCTGTGCAATCCCCAATCTAAACTGGCCAGGACCAGTTTATGCTGCTGAATATTTGACTACCAGCTGTCCAGGGGGAAAGGCTTGGTTTGTAGTGCTTGCCAATTTCCATGGTGTAAATACTCCCAGCATGTCTGATTTCAGCCTTCCAAGCTTTCAGGCAGAGTTGCGGAGAGAGGGGCATTTGCACAGCACTATGTAGCATTTCCATTATAGGTATATAATACCCATGAATTACTTCAAGAACATAATAAGTAAAGAACATGTGATAACATCATTAGGAATGCATGTTGAGGCTACATTACCTTTGTTTGTTTGTTTTTAATCTCCTTTGCTCTTGTTTTTGGGAATCAATACAAGAAACCACACACCAATCCTTCTATTTCTGCCTGGACCACCCAGGGACACTGACAGTACTCTTCACGATATGCACGCATCCTTTTCTTGAGTTGCTCCTCCCCATTAATATCAACGTGTTACTCCCCCA